TGTGTCTGTGTGTGTATGTGTGTATATGTGTCTGTGTCTGTGTGTGTGTGTCTGTGTGTGTGTCTGTGTGTATGTGTGTCTATGTGTGTGTGTATGTGTGTATATGTGTCTGTGTGTCTGTGTGTGTGTCTGTGTCTGTGTGTATGTGTGTCTATGTGTGTGTGTGTGAGAACACTGTCAATGAATTTCTGTTTTCTTAAGATTACAGGTAAGCCAGGTGGTGGTGGAGCACGCCTTTAATCCCAGAACTCAGGAGGCAAAGGCAGGTGGATCTCTGTGAGTTGGAGGCCAACCTGGTCTACAAGACCTAGTGCCAGGATAGGCTCCAAAACTATAGTGAAACCTTGTCTCAAACAAACAAACAAACAAAAGGTTACATGTCAACTTCAAGTGTAGTAGCTTCTAGATGCACATGTAATAATGCGTGGTACTCATAATTTTGAAAGTCATGACCCTGGATTTAATGTTCTTAAGCTTTAGTCAGTATGATTAGCCATGACACACTTGTATCTCTGGCACTGATGGGGATATGTGATCTTGACTATGACCTTTTCGAGACCTTGAGAGGTCTGATCTCATTTCCCAGTGATACCTGTTGGGACTCCCTTGGATTCATTGAACCTCATCCTTATTTCTTTGATGATCTCATTGTCTTTAGCCCCAAGAAGATGCCGGTGTCACATTCAGGCCAGTGGCTTTGTGAAGAAAAGCCAAGTGAAGTGAATTCCCTCTATCGAGAAAGTCTCCTTTGTGACAACGTGCACAGAGGGGTCCGAGACTTCTGTGACTGGGCCAAGGCTCTTGTAAGTTGGGGTGACTTGTAACCAGAGGCTATGAGTTCATCTCCTGGCTGTCCAGTCCTGAGGAATCACACAGAAACTTATGTTAGCTACAAACTGTTTGCCTACTAGCTCAGGTTTTTATTAACTAACTCTTATAGTTTAAGTTAACTCATAATTCTTATCTGTGTCTAACCACGTGACTTAGTACCTTTTCTCAGCACGGCATTCTCATCTTGCTTCCTCTGCGTCTGACTGGTGACTGTGTCTCTGCCTTTCCTCTTCCCAGAATTCTCCTAGTCTGGTCACCCCACCTATACTTCCTGCCTGGCTACTGACCAGTGTTTTATTAAACCTATACGAAGGACAAATCTTTACAGTGTACAAGAGCATTATCCCACAGCCCTGACTCCTAAAGCTACAGCTGAGAGCCCGGCTCCGTGTGCCTCTGTCCCTGAGGGAGGCCCTGGGCTCAGACTCTAGGGCTGAAGAAACACACCAAGCTCCGAGTTGTTTCTGGTAAACATCGTCAGAGTCAAAGTCTGAAATTGTCAGCTGTATTGGAATCAGTCTGGGCAGTCATTGACAGTAGAAATTATGGGGACAGGAAACTTCTGCCAAGTGTGTAAGCAGGAGCTAATTGAATATTGCTGTCTCCATTTTACACCATAGATGTCTTTGACGCTTCCGTTAGTGACAGGACTCGTCCGCAGCCTTCATTCCTGCTTCAGTTCACACTCCCAGGCACCCTTGTCTGTGAGTGCTTGTGGGCTGCGCTGACATGGGTGCTTTTCTGAAGGGTGAGATGTCTGCCGTGGTCGTCAGGCCTTTCCTCACCTGCCCTCCCAGAACCCCAGTTTCTGAGGCTCATCCCAAGTCTCCGCAGAGTTTCTGGTAGCCTGATGTTGCTCTCAAATTTAAGACCTTCCAGTATTACATCACTCTCAGATTTTTTTTTATGCATTAGTAATTTTTAGTCAAAGTATTTTACACACATATTCATTACATTTATTAAATTATGTATTTGTGTGTGTGTGTATGTGCGCGCGCGTGTGCATGTACATGTCACAGTGACAGAGGACAACTTGTAAGAGCTGGTTCTGTCCTGCTATCATGTGGGTTCTGAGATTTGAACTCAGCTTATCAAGCCTGTTGGCAAGCACCTTTACCAGTTGAGCGATATTGCCAGCCCTGGTTAATGTATCTCTCTAGTCCTATTACATTAGCAGTGACTACCCTCCAGACCCAAATATAATTCGAAGGGTTTAAGGGGGAAAGGAGAATTACCCAGAAGCACGTGGAGACTGAGGCCCTAGATGCTGAGCTGCTTTTTGGTGCTGTTCTCAAGTCCTGCTGACCTCTTTACCTGACTTTACTCTCAAGTTTCCCTCAAGACATGCCAGAAGTCATCGCCAAAATTAATTAAGGCTGTGATTAATTAATTAAGACCTCACCAGCGTGAGATCTGATAGGGAGAGAGAAACCTTTCTCCAAAAAGGCCGAATCCAGGTCTTTCTGCGTGAGCCATGTGTTTGTGTCAGAATTAACCCCCATGATTAAGAAGAGGATGCCTGCTCCCTGCTACCCACAGCACTGCTGGTCCATAGAATTTTATAGGACTGTTTGACTCCCACGCCCTCCCTCATTTCTGCTGGCGATTCTCTTCCTGCCCTCCGCTCACTCCTTGCCGTGTCCTTGCAGGGAAGTTCGCCCATCGAGGAGGAGTTCATCCTGCAGCAGTTTGACCTTGACTATCACACCAGGCGCAGCTGTGCTGTGCTTCCTGCAATGAGAGCCCCAAAGCGTTCTGTCCCGAGTCAACTGCAGGAGGCAGGCCTGTGCCATAAACCAGACCGTGAGAGGCGACTCCGGAGAGCACAGGTGACCTCAGGAAAGCAAGCCGAAAATCCAAGGAAACTGAATTACGTTAAAGCCTTACGTGTTCTTGAAGTCTGGCTCTCTGGGGCTCTGGCTTTTTAAGCCGTCCTCTCAGAATGTTATCATACTTAATAAATATTTGATAAGAGAATTGGTATTTGGTATCTATGATAGTGGTTTATATGAAGAAGACATACCATTTGGAACTGTTACTGACTCCCCACTGTCAGAGAGTCTTTTAAAGTGTTTCCTATGTTAAAACTATAGCATCTAATGGGAATATTAATGAATGCTTATTATTTATAACCAAGAGTAATACGATGATTGTGAACACTGTAAATCTTATGTCCAAAGAATTCTTATTTGAATTGAATTGACCACACATTGTTTTTGTTAAGAATTTTTAAAACACATTTTAGGTGTGTGTGTGTCTGTGTGTGTATGTCTGTGTATGAATATATGCACATGACGGGAGGTGTCTGTGGAGGCGTTGGATCCCCTGGAGCTGGCATCACAAGTGGTTATGAGTCTGTGTGAACCTTCTGCAGGACAAACCCTTCATCGATGGTCGACTTTCCCTGAGAGAATGTGATGGCTGCTGGAACAAACCCCGGTCCTCTGGAAGAGAGGTGAGTGCTTTTAACCTCTGAGTGGTTCTCCATCCACTGCTCCTTTTGGGATCTCTTTCTTCTCGCAAACTTGGAAGCATGGCTGGAGAAAGAAGAATTGCAGCAGCATTTGGAAGAGAAGTGTCATGGGGAGCCCCAACAATATGGTCTTTTTATCTCTCTGTTCAGTTGCCAATGTCAATAAACACGCATGCCTCATTGTGAGAGCAAACAGCAGACTTCAGCGCCTGTGTGAGCAGGGAGTGTCTTCCTCAAAGTCAAAAACAGCACATTATCTCTAATTAGCTCGAATTACCTGTAATTTTTTCTTCACACGTCTTACCATGTAGTTTTAGTTCTCTGAAGAGAAAAACAGAAGACTTCTCTCAGGGCGAGGAGATGGCGCGGTAGATAAAACGCTTGTTGCATAAACAGAACGAGCTAAGTTTAAATCTTGAGAACACATCCAAAGCCAGACACGGGAGCACATGTCTGACACTTCAGCTCTCCTATGGTGACATGGTGGCATCAGGGGTTGGGGGGATTTCCAGAAACTCAGAGCCAGATAGCCTGACATCTCAGCAGTGAACAACAGAGAACCTTCTTCAAGCAATAAAAAGTGAGGGCTGGCACAGAGCTGGCCCTGTGCCCTGCACATGTGTGCAGAAGCATATGCACTTCCCCTCATACACATGCTTGCACAATACTCTCGCATGTGCGCGCGCGCACACACACACAGTGTTTTGTGGGTGCAGAATTCTAGGTTCACAGTTTTTGCCCTTACTTCAGTACCATGGATCTGTTGCTCCACTGTCTTGCCTGAGTTATTTCTGATGAATCTTACGAGACGCTTGACCTCTGCTTCCCAAGTGCTGTTTTCTTCGGTCGCTTTTAGATGTTTCTTTTTGTTAGTGGTTTTGAACATGCATACACACATATGCACACATGCACACACTCACACAAGCACACACTCACACAAATACTCACCTACACACACACTCACACGCACACACACACTCATAAACCTTTCTTTTCAGACTTATTGTGCTAAGAGTTCCCTGAACCTCTTTGACTATTGGACTTGCAATTTTCATACATTTTTTTGCTTTTTAAAATTATTAGTATGTATTATTTGCACAAAATGATGGATGTGTTCTGACATTTCCACACATGTGTACAATGTTCTTTTTTCATGAATTTTGAAAAAAACTTTGACTATTAGTTCTTCAAGTCTGTTTTTGGCTTCTCAGTCTTTCCCCTACATTTGAATGACACATGAAGAGGCTTGACTCTGTGTCCCGGCTCCCCGCTTCTGTTCTGTGTTTTTCTCCTTTGTTCATGTTTTTCTGTTGATACGACTTTAAATTCTATGATTTCTGTCCCTGAAACATCGGTGGTTTTGTCTCATAATTACAATCTTCTTGTCTAGACGTCTGATGGGCGTTGGCTTTCCATGTCTCCACCTAATTTGGAACACGCGAGGTCCAGTTTGAGAACCTGCTCTGATGTCTTTTTGTTAGAACCCTGTGTCTGCTCTGTGTCGGTTCCCGTGAACTCGCGTATGCCCTCGAGATGCGCTATGATTTTCTGCATCGCTCCATGTCCGCTGGTTTTCTGAGTGGACGCTAAGCATTGTGGGTTTCACCAGAATGAGTGTTTGGGGCACTTAGGCATGTTTATAAATATTTTTGGAATTTGTTCTGGGATACAATCAAGTTATTTAGAAATGTCTGGTCTTTGGGGATCTTGCTTTAAAGATTCCTTGAGAAACAACAAAAGCGATGCTTGGTCTCAGGCTGTTTATTTCGTAGTTCTGAGCAAGACCTTCAGTGTGTCCTCCCTGGTCCTGAGAACGGAGGAAGAGGCAGCTGGCCACAGCCCTATGCAGCTACCAGGCCCTTTCCCTCTAGTGCATTTAGCTGGTCCTTCCCCTGATCTTGGGTGGTTTTCTTTGCATGTGCAGAGAGGGGACAACCACCTCACCCCACCACACCCTCTGCAGCCCTGTGTCTTTTCTGTGCGGTGTGCTGTAAACTTCCGCTGCATGGCTATCCTTGGGTTCTTGATTCCTCTGTTCCCTCTGTCCGTCCGTCCGGTGAGTCCCTTGGGCTGCTTCTGGGCTTCCCCTCCCCCTCCCTAGGGACTCTTTCTCTGCAGTCAGCAGGCAATTACAGCACTTATTTTGTTTGTCCCTTTCCCCCCAGGGATTACTGTCCTGGTTACTGCAGGCTAATTTTTTTCTTTTTCTTTTTCTACGATCCAAATGTGGAAATGAGGAGAGAAAGCCAGTCTGTATTCTGGAAATGCAAGTCCCCTTCTTTAGTTTTCTACTCCACAGTTCTCGGCACTGCTAGACTCTGCCCTGTTATTCTTTAAATCTGTTTTTTTCTCCTCCCACTGTAGCTCTGCTCACGTGTTTTGTCTATCTGAAGACCCCCTTTCTCTGCGTGGATCTCTGTCTCCTTTTAGATGAGGGTGTATGTTAACTTTGCTGTGGATGTTTCTTTCGTCTAGGTACACTGGTTGAGATTATCAATAGGTACATTGGTTGAAATTATCAATAGGTACAATGGTAGAGATTATCAATAGGTACATTGGTTGAGATTATCAATAGGTACATTGGTTGAGATTATCATCAATAGGTACATCGGTTGAGATTATTGTATTCTTATTTTCCACCCCTTATAGCACTGTGTGCCCCTAGTTTTCTATTTTCTCTTCTCTCTGTTTGCCAGTTCATCTGTCTGCCTATTCACTCACCCAGCAAACATTTCTGAGCATCTGTGTGTTCAAAGGTGTTAATACTTCATGCACTCAGGACTTACGGTCTAGCAAAGTCAACAGGCAAGTGATTAACTGCAACAGAATGATGTCTTGTGTGTACACGTTAAGAAGAAATGACCGAGCCAACAAGCATAGGGTGTGGGCAGTTTCAATAAAGGCTTCAAAGAAATTGTGTTGTGTGGAAGTAAAACATGGAAGATCATTAGTACATTAGCAACCTCTGTTCTTCAACTGGGCCCCACTTCTGTCCCCACTCTTTCACCCCATTCTCAGTTTCCCTTCTTTTAATTCAGCAGTTCTTTGCACCCTTCTCCCCCTCCCCCCAAGAATATTTGACAATGTTTGCAGATGGCATTTTGAGTTGTCCTAACTCAGCAGGCACCACTAGCATTTCAAAGATAGAGGCCAGGAATGTTGGTTGTTAAATATCCCACCGTGAGGAGGTCAGCCACCTCACCTCAGCAAAGAATGATCCCATCCCAAATGTCAATAGTGGTAGAGTTAAGAAACAGTACTGTAATTTAGCAAATATTTATAGAGCACCTGCTATGCCCTACATGCCGCTGAAGCTAGGGAGGTACAGTGGGGAACAGCCTCCAAAGCTTACATTCCAGGGGGCACAAAGAGATGCAGTACAAAAGATGCAATGAAAATATACAGAGCATATCAGACAGTGGCCAGCGCTGCCGTGAAAACTGGGGCAGGCAAAGAAGCCAAGGTGTGCTGTGAGGCTTGCAGATTTTTAAATTGGGTGGTCAGGGAAGATACTACCAGAAACAGCAGAAACTGGGCATCGGAAGGACATACGTGAGGCCCCATTGTGGGAGTGTGATGGGCGTGTTCTGAAAGGGGGAGGGAAGTCAGGATGCGTGGAGAGAGTGTGCGAAGTCCAGCCCTTGGAGGGGCTGCCCCCATCAGCTGCAGTGTTTGATGATTTAGACGGACTGGGTAATTCCCGAACGCCCCACACTTTCCATTACATGGTTTAAATGCAGATGAGAGGAGCCGGAGGAATAGCGCGGCTCTTCCAAAGGGTCCTAGCTGGTTCCCAGCACCTACGTCAGGTAGTTCACAACTGCCCGTAACTCCAGTTCTAGAGAAACTGATGCCCTCTTCTGACCTCCTTGGCACCAGTCCGCATATGTATATATGCACACACACACACACACGCACGCACGCACGCACACACGCACACAATTTAAAGCAAATCTCTAATATATATGGGCCTAGAGGAATGGCTCAATATTTAGGAGCATTTGTAGCTCTTGCAGCGGGGACCTGGGTTCAGTTCCCAACACCCACGTAATGGCTCACAACTATCTCTAACTCTGGCCCCAGGGATCTAACGCACTCCTCAGCCTCCACAAGCACTAGGTACACAAGTGATAGGTGCAGGCAAGTATTCATGCATGTAGAATAATCGTGAAAATATGGATGTGAGGCAGACCCAGAACTGTGTGTTCACATTCTGTGTTCCACCCAGGAGTCGTCTGTTTGTGATAAGGCAGCTTGCAGCACTATATCTGTGGCATCTGGCTGGGAGCCAGCTCGAGTTGTCCTTACATCCTCGGAGCACAACAGTGGAAGGAGCAGAGAAGAGAGTGAGACCCACTCTTTCTCCGTGTTTTCTCTTTCCATTAGAGGGGTAGACGCATGATCCCAGGGCTCAGCATAGTGCGGGGCTTGGTGAGTTTAACTGAACAGTTTGGGACCTTGAAAAAGACTCCAGTGAACCAAACTATTCAGGGTGAAATAAGTGCTTTTTACCTGATTTCTACCTACTTTGCATATGTTCTCTCTCATAATCCTCAGGAAGCTCTTGTGGAGGTAGAAACCTGTTATTTCTGCTTTGATGATAAACTGGTAACTTAAGGGGTATTCCCGTGGACTTGCAGCTACTGAGAAAGGGAAAGACTGAATTCAGGCCTAGATCTGTCTGCATTCAAGGCCATGTTCATAGGCGTTACTCTATTTTTCTAAGTATGAATATGCAAGCTTCTTTTGTAAAAAAAAAAATCAAAGCACGTTGGAACTTTGTAAAATAATTGGCAAGGACAGGCTGTAAATTCTAAGCAATAGCACACCTTTCATAAGATGAGCCTTAGATTATTGTTAGATTATTGAAGCGATCAGCCAACCAATAAACAAGTAAACACTGCCAACTAACGACCCAGGAATTATGTTACCTTTTCTAGAATCCTCATAAGCCAAAGCGGGTGAAGATGAGGTATGGAGCCTGGTATCTGAAGACCAACTTGTGGAAGAAGCAAAGAGCAGATGAACCTTTGGTTGATCCCAAGATTTCACACAAAGCTCAGGATTCTAACTTGGAAAAGCATCTTCGGGAGCAGGTATGTACATGTGCTGTGACATGGTTGTCTGAGTCACGGATGATCACTGCATGGTTGGGCACAGAGGTTCCCCCAAACTCCCAGGGCTTATGTCTCAAAGTCAGCCACAGGAAAGGCAAGATGAGTTATGTAGTGCATGTGGTGAGCAAGACTTGAATTCTGTCTTCATGGTAAGTACGCTGCCTCTGAACTGAGACCGCACTCCTGACATTTTGTGTTTGAGACAGGGTCTCGCTATGTAGCCCTGGCTGCCCTAGAACTCCATATATAGATCAGGCTGGCCTCAAACTCGGAGATCCTCGTACTTCCTGATTGGTGGAATTAAAGGCCTCCACCCTCAGCCATTATTACCATTTTGAACAATGTTTCTGTGAACAAATGTTTAAAGGGCAGGTGGCCAGGTAGGACCCCCACAGTGCTCAGAACTGGTGTGCCGTCATGAAGTTTCTGGTGACTAAGTGCGGAGCTTGTTTCCTCTCGGCAAGAGGTGACCATCAGAATCAGGACTGCACTTGGGAAGTTTCACCAGAATCCAGTAGTCACGCACGCTCTAAGGGGGGGACTAAACACTTGGAGGTGACAGAGCAGCAAAGCCGCCCCACCATGCTGAGGCCCTGCTCTACTGAAGAAGAGCGGTGTGCTTGCCTGTCTCTTGTGCACAAGCACCTACTAGAGCAAAGGGCATCGCTTTGCTCTGGAAACGGAGGAAGCACTCTCCACCAGACTCTGCTGAGCACATCTGTGTGCCGCTTCTCATTTCCAGCAGACCGGGGTGTCTCCAGACACTGGGTGGGAAACCCTGTGCAGATGTGGATACTTCATTAGTAACTGCCTACCAGGCTCTGCAGGTCAGAAAGCTCAGACACATGGTGGGTAGACGTTTTCTGTTTCCCTGTGCTGGGTTTAAAAAGCTGTTTTTTAGGAGTGAGGTATGCCATAACTCTGTTAGCACAACATGCTTGAATAAACTTCAAAATAATATAAATAACACTTAGAATTCTGAGTGCATGGTGTAGGAGTGCCCAAATGTATGAGAATTTAATTCATAACTAATATTTTATTCTGACAGCAAAAAACTATGTATGGTGTCTGAGTACTTATGGTCAGTTAATGAACAAATAGTGTCTTTTCTATTTGGGTAATACAGTTGGTATAATTATTACAGTGATAATTATTCATTAGGAGATCTAGACACAGGGAGGAGTCAAAACGACAGAATTGTTCTACAGCAGTCTTTTTGGAGGCATAGTCTTGCATATGTAGTCCAAGCTGGCCGAGAACTCACGATCCTCTGAAGTGCCAGGATGACAGGCATGCTGTGCCATGCCCAGCCTGTCGTGGTGTTGATCAGTCACACTTTCATCTCATCCAAGGGAGGGTTGAGACTGCACTGCAGGTGCGGCCACAGTGGTCTGTGGGTGGGGGACAGCCACTGTGGCAGTCTTACCGAGAACCCGAGAGTCTTCACTGGATTTGACACACTGGGTTTGGGTGGTGAAATGACCTGAAAGAGTTGAACCTCAGTATGTGGATTTCTACATCCACTCTTTGAGTTCAAATAAATGTAAAGAAAAAAAAATCAAAAGGATGCTTGACTATCCCGAGGGTTTGGGACCAGAGCAAGTCTGTTTTTGATTATTGTGCCCATTTAACTAAGCTCTGTAAATTGTGGGGCCACTGAGATGGCTCATTTGCTTCCCTTACCAGATAAATGTAAAAAAAAATTAGAATTAAAATCTATAAGTGGTGGATAGATTCTCTCGTCAGTTTCTAGATATACAAAGTCAAATCTTTTCAATTGCTGAAATCTGTTGCTTATTCTTACAAGTGTAAGAAAATAAATGAACAGAAGGTTGAAATTAGAAGTCTTTGAAAACCCTCATTCCTTAGCTGATGGACCTCAGAGTGTGAAGGCAGTGCCTACAGGGGGGACCTCACAGCAGCTCCCACCTATTTCTCCTAATCTGCTCTTTCAGGCGGAGCTGCTTGCAGGCCTACACGGAACTGTGGCCTTTAAGGACTTCATTCTAAGCAGGGGTTACAGGATGCCCAGGGTGAGTGAAGAGCAGGATTGCAGAACCTGCTGAGGGCTTTGAAGAAGACAGTGTGGGTGAGAAGTACCCTAACATAATCGGAGAGTCGTCTCTTGGCACCCTTAAACCTCAGGAAGGATGCAGTCAAATAAAACAATGTTATGAGCCGGGTGGCACGCACCTTTAATCCCAGTACTTTACAGGCAGAGGTATGTGATTCTCTGTGAGTTCGAGGCCAGCCTGGAATACAAAGAGAGTTCCAGAACAGCCAGGGCTGTTACACAGAGAAACCCTGTCTCAAAAGCAAAAACAAACACATTACAGCATTGCTTTCCAGACGGAGCCCTTTGGGTCTGTCTTCCTGATGTTTCGAAGTCCACTCTCCACCAAAGTGCTTGGCATAGAGATACATATAGTATGTGCCTTGCACAACCTGTTGCTAAGACACCCACACACCCAGTGCGCCCTAACAGTTGGACACTAAGCATAAGAGACCAAAGTCTTAGCTAGTAACAGGCTGTTCACAGCTTGCCAACAAGTCCCTCAGGCTCTGCAGAGGGCAGAATAGCCAAGCACTCAGATTGTTAGAGCAAGATATCAGATTTCTTTTTCTTTCTTTTTTTTTCTTCTTCCATTTTTCTCCCCCTGTCTCCATAGTTATTGTTTTGAGATAACGTCTTATATAGGTATAGATAGTCCAAGCTAGCCTCAAAATCACTATGTACCCGAGCCTGACCCTGAACTTCAGAGCCCCCTGTCCTGTCCTCCAATTACGAGCTGTGTAGGTATGTGCCTCAACGTCTGCTTGGATTTCTATTTTCTGAGGGACAAGACTAATGGTGGCTTATATTTAATGTCAAATAAATGAACACATTGAGCATGCTCAGAACCAGCCTGGCTTTGGGTAAATTTAGAGCACGGGATGGAGATTTAGAATTCAAACACTCCATCGTAGAGTTCAATGGAGTATCTCCTTTAGCTCTGAGCTCAGTGATAGACCACTGGCTAGATTTACTCTGTACTCTCTCTATGTATATACTCTATACGTACTGGGTTTGATATGCATTTGATAGCTGCTTGATCTGCACAGAAAGTCCACATAAGTTTATTTATATATATTTTTATGTAGAGTATGTAAAATTTGCTTATTAATATTAAATGTTGTGCATTTTATATACTTTTGTATATTATGTAGGTATATTTGTTTTTGGTGTTTGTTTTAGTGACCTTGAGCCTATGATCCCCCTGTTTCTAACTCTTAAGTGCTGGGGTCACAGGCATGTGCCACCGTGGCTATGATTGTGGCCCACTGAGGCCAGAGAAGGACATCAGGCCTCTCTCACTGTTTGCTGTATTCTCCGAAGACAGGGGCTGTCACTCGACCCGAAACTCTAGCCTCACATAAGGGAATCTGTGGAGTGAAGTCTTTACGCTGGGGCATTACAGCAGGAGGGCTGTATAGCTTTTCAACAAAAGCTTTCTAATGAAGAGATTCTCATTTTTTTTCCTGTAGTTCCTTGAGAAGATACATGCTGTCGAGAAAGGTAGATCTGAAAATATTAAGACTCCTAAGAAACTCACGCCAACAGCGAGGAATCCTGGGAGAAGATGAGGCAGCTTTTATTGACTGCATACTTGGGTTTTCTTCCATTATCTTAATTATTAAGTAGGTCATGGTAAGTGCTCACACGGAAACTTCGACCTGGCAGCATCTATAAATATAAAACCCGACACAATGCTTCTAAATGGCTTTAATCGATTTTTGTATTATTTTTAGTTATGTATAGTTGTGTGTGTCTGCCTGGGGGTGAGTACACATGAATGTAGGGGCCCTCAGAGTCAGAACTGTTGAGTCCCCTGGCGCTGGAGTTACAAACAGTTGTGAGCCACTGTGTGGGTGTTGGTAATTGAACCTTGGTTCTCTGGAAGAGCAGGTGAACTCTTAACTCCTGATTGAGCGCTCCAGCCCCCATCAAGAAACGCTTTGTTTGTTTGTTGTCTTCAGATTAGGCCTTCTTCAGGCAGAGTCTTGCTCTGTAGCGCAGGCTAACCTCTAATTAGTCACCCCCAACCCCAAAGTAGCCTCTCAGGGGCTAGAGTTGCAGCTGCCCACCAACATCCTTGGCTTAGCGTTTTGTGTGTTACCAGTTATGGAATCTAAATTCATGTAGAGTCTCCTCAAAGTTTTGTGTTATGAAAATTACATAAGTATATTAGTTCTTTGTAAGAATAAAGTCATAAGTAAAGGCAAAATCGCTCTATTTTTATTGTTATAACTTTGAATGGGCTCCTCTTTTCTTCCTTTATGGTATTATTTTCTTGCATTTTGAATTAAGCTAACTGAGATGTTCTTTCTCTCTTCTTAGGCATGTTAGTCTTGCTGATAAATGTGTACTTGCAAGGGAAGGTCATAGGTCAAAAAATTTAATGGAAAATTAAGCTAACATGTTTTGTTACTTTTTAAAGATAAAAATTTATTTGTGTATGCCTATGGCTACCCACAGAGGTCAGAGGAGTCTGCCGGATCCTCTGGAGCTGGAGGCAGAGGTAGTTGTGTGTTGCGCTATGTGGGTGATGGAAATCAAATTTGGATGCTCTACAGGAGCAGCAAGGGTTCTGAACCCTGAACCATCTCTCCAGCCGCTACATTTTATTACTTTAAAATTATTTTTTTGGGGGGGGGGCGGTCTTGGAAAGCTAGAACAGTGGTTAAGAGCACTGGCTGCTCTTCCAGAGGACCCAGGTTCAATTCCCAGCACCCACGTAGTGGCTCACAAACATCTGTAACTCCAGTTCCAGTGAATCTGATGCTCTCTTCTGGTATCTGTGGGCAACAGGCATGCACATGGTACGCAGACATACCTGCAGGCATAACATCTGTACAAGTATAAAATAAAAATTTAAACTAATATAAGGAACTTAGAAACTGAAATTATTATTTTTGTTTGCATGCTTATGGCCATGCATGCGTGTGTGGAAGGCGCATATGGAGTTCAGAAGTGTCCTCATAAGTCGTCCATATTGTTTTTTAAGGGAGGCTCTCTCACTTGGATCTGAGCTCACCAACTCAGCTAGACTGGCTAGCCAGTGAGCTCTGAGATCTGCCTGTTTCCTCCCCCAACACTGGGATTACATGCCAGGCCACCATGGATTTCTACACAGGTGCTGGGAATCAAATGTGGGTCCTCATGCCCACAGCGAGCTTTCTGCCAACTCCCCAGGTCCTCGCACTTGATCTCAACAGTCTTCTACAGAAGTCCATTTTAAATTTGATTGCTGGTAACACACCTTTGGTTGAGAAAAAGGCAAAAAAAAAAAGCTTTTGAAAAGTGTGTATGCATGACATGGCAGGAAAGAAACACAACATCAATGCAACAGTATCCATTTCCACAACTGGTGGGGAGGTGTAATTTCTATACAATTTTTCTCACCCGTTTCTCATTCTCCATGCTTGCTCCTTTTAGCCAACCATTTGGCTGAAGGATCTCTTGCTCGGTAGAATGGCCCAAACGTTTATCTGCAAAGGGCCTGAGCCTCCATGATTTTCACACTGGAGTTTTTATTACTAGACACAGCGGGACTCCAAGGGCCCCTCTGATTTCCACAACTCTCTCGTCAATTGTTTTCCTCATTGGTGAAGTTTCACTGACGCCAGAATGTTCTCTCTAGTTCTTCATGAAGTCTGAGAAAGCCACGCTGACCAGTTGGTGATGATCGCTGCCTAGTCCGTCTTAATATTGCTGTTTTCTGCTGGTGGGAGACTTCTCTCAAGCTTTCATATCCATAGCTCAGTCCTGGGGCTAAGAAACAGTTGTTCCAGAGATCATTAAGGGGGTACTCCTGATGTCACCCCTTACACTCACTCAGGCCTGCATAGCCAGAGTACAGGACAAAGAGTGTTGGTTCAGTGTGGGCACCCATTGCTCCAGGTCTCTCTGAAATCTGCCATTGCTCTCAAGCCCCTTACACACAATGACACTGCATATGGCCCGCCCCGCACGTGGAATCATCGCTACATTACAGCACAATGCAAATTAAGAAATCCTCGTTACACTGTGCTGCTTAGGGAGTCACGAGAGGAACAAACAATTGGTCGGTGTTCAGTAAGGACAAAAATTGCTTGAATATTTTCTATTCTGTTTAACCATGAGGGTGCAGAACGCACAATGGCACTGCACTTCAAAAACATTGTCTCTCAAGTGAAGGTTGAGTCTGAAGTAAGCTTCTGTGTGCACCAGAGTGTCAGCCTATTGCTTTCTCGTTTACTATAAAAATAATTTCTGCACTTTGCATAAAGCTCCTACCTGTATTCCAGAACTCCAGGGCTGAAACAGAAGAAATGCCGGGAATTTTAGACTAATATGGTCTGAAGGTTGAGACCTTGTTCTTCACCAAATTACCAAGTGATGATGATGAAGATGATATAGTGACGATGATGAAGGTGTTGATAGTGATGATGATGAAGGTGTT